GGTTTAGGGTTTAGGGTTTAGGGTTTAGGGTTACGATGATGTGCACCGTTGAGGTTCAAGGCTTTCCAGGTGCATCGGAACTCTGCGGGTTGAACCCTGGACCCCTAAACACCCTAAACGGGTTTAGGGTTTAGGGTTTAGGGTTTAGGGTTTAGGGTTTAGGGTAAGGGCAATTCTGCACCGCATGACAAAGGGTTGTGGCAGTTGAAAAGCGGCTTGTTGCTAGTTGTGGGCTTTGTTGAGGAGGGATTCTCTCTAGCAATTAAAAAAGACCCCCTCGAAAGGGATACGAGCGATCACAAGGATAAGGATAATAGCACCGATAACATATGTGCTGCAGCAGCTCAACAACATCCCAAAAGGGGCTTCAGCGCCCTGAATCGCTGAAGAACAAACGTGCCTAGACTGGGAGCCAAACGGCCGCAAACCCTCAACCGAAAACGGGCTTATGAGACAAGAATCTCAACCCAGCTACCCGAACAGCAGGTTGCTAGGTTATAGGTACTGCGGGGTTGATTGAAGGCTTAACGACCCGCAACCCTCTATATATTGAGTAATGTTGCGGCCTAAATACTCCGAATAGCAAGCCCTACGGTTTAGAGTTTAGGGTTTAGGGTTTAGGGTTTAGGGTTTAGGGTTTAGGCCTAAACCCTGAACCCAATTCAGGGCCTTTTCTGGCTTTTTTATGAGTCTCAGCCCAGGATCCCGCTCACGGTTCTTTGGTGGGACGCCCGCCGCGCATTTTCGGGTAGGTCTTGGTGTGGTCCTTGGGCATGGTGGTGATTCCCTGCACCCTGTAGAACCTACCTTTCTCCAGCAAAACGTCGGAGAGTTGCCGGTTAAGGGGTTTCCTTAATAGGGTTCCTTAACAGGGTCCCTTTGTAGGGTTCCTTGATGGGGCTGAAACGTTAACCTTAAGAAATCAGCAGTTTTCCTACGGGTTCCTTCCCATTATGACTTCCTGCTATAACAAAAACGGCGGCTGATCGAGTTTGAGGTAGCCGCTGTTTTCATTGATTGCGGGCTTCATGCCAAAATACGAAAGAAGCTCGATTTTTTGGGCTTCGGGTTCAGGTCGGCTTTACGATGCCAGGTGGTGTGGTGTCGGGCTGAAAGGTGGGGGTTTGTGATTCGGCTTTTGGGTTTCGGGATTGGAGAGTTAGGAAAACCCTGAGCCCGGAAGTCTACCCGGTATTCCGGTAGACTCTACCGGAATGCCAATAAACGCCCTACAAGACCCGTTGCTGTGCTGGGTTCTGGCTGCTTGTCAGTGCCCTATTCAAAAAGTTCACCTTCGGGATTTGCTTAGGGATTATAACACCCAAAAATGGCTGAAGGTTACCACTCTACTACTTAGCTGCCCAGCACCCTGGCCCAAAAAAGTTTAAACTTCTGTTTTAGTAGGGGTTTAGTATACCAAAAAGTATAAAGTTTACCTATTGGGCTCCTAGGACTACTAGGTCTGGTTGGCCAAGGATCCGAAAGGTGGAGAGTGCCTCGCCACGGTACGAACCAACCTTTTCCACCAGAGGGTCTGGGACCTGGGTTCAGGCCCTTCAGCCGTTTGGTGTTTCGGGTTTTCAAGGTTTAGGGTTTAGGGTTTAGGGTTCAGGCAGGGTTGCCATAATGTAGGGGCCTCAATAGTTACCTATACTGTTTTGGGGGTTCCCCAGAGAGAGCCCAATACCCATTAATTGGGAATATACCTTACCTTAAGTCATGATATTAAGGCCCCTATAATTTAGGGTATATTCCTTATTTAAGGGGTATTGGGCTCTCTGGGTCCTTATTATAACTATAGTATAATAGACACCAAAATCCTATTCTAATTCTCAAGGCCTCTACATTAAACGGGCTCAGGGCTCCGGGTCTAAGGGCTCGTCTAGGTGCCTTAGGGCTTTAATGTCGAAGGGTCTAGGATTCTGTAAGGGTTTCGGGAGTTTTGCGTGTAGGGTTCGATCCGGGCTGGTCAACAGAAGTTAGGGGTTTTGCAAGCCAGGGGATTTTGTACAGCCCCTCTTAACTCCCTGAACCCTAAACCCCAAACCCTAAAGTTTGGGGTGGGGTGTAGGCTTTAAGGCTTCAGGGATGAGGCTTTGCCTGTAGCCCCAAAAACTTAACCTGTGGAGGGTGCCGTCTTACGGCTTATACACACATTCCGTTGAAAGCATTACATTACGGGGGCCTTCATGGCTAGAATCGGGTTTTGGTGTATATTAGCTATAACTATAATTAACTATAACTATAATAAGGAACCCCAAAACAGTGTTGGTAGTTCTGTCGGCCCTCTGTTTTAGGCCGTTTGGTAGGGGTTGAGATGGGGTTGACATACCCACCTTGACCACCAGGCGCAGCATCTGTCCTGCCACGGGCCTTCACAGAAGTGAACTACCCTAAACCCTAAACCCTAAACCGTGCCTTTGGGCTTTGGGTTTTGGGGGTTTAGGGTTTAGGGTGCCAGGACCATGCCGTTCTTAGATGGCTTTTCTGGGTGTTAGTCGAAGGTTTAAGCACGGGTTCCTGAAAACTTCCAAACACCTCCATAAGGTCGTTCTTAATGCCCGGTATGAGGACCCTAAGCTATTCCTGAATAGAATATCCCATGAAAAACTAGAAATGTTAAACAGATAAACCCCAAAACCTAATATAGGGACCTTAATGATCAAAATAGGGTTTTGGGGCCCATTATACTATAATTATAATGAGGAACCCCCGAAAATAGAATAGGTACTTATTGAGGCCCCTATATTAAACCCTAAACCCACACATGTTGGAGACACTGGGATGAGCATGAGCTTCGCGAAGTCGGGACTAAGTTCTGCACACAAGAGTGTAATATAGGGGCCTAAAATTACCTATGCTACGGGGCTCATTATTATAACTAATTATAGAATAATGGGGCCTTACTCTGATTATTTAGGCCCCTGTAATTTAATGGGTTTCAGCATCTGGGTAGTTCTTCAAAGAGTAGGTCCCTTTCAGGATCCTCTTGCCAGGATGCCGCACTATTTTGGGGATCCAAAAGGGACCCTATTTAGAGCACTACCCATTTAGGCTTTTTCAGGGTGAGGGTTTATGGTCCAGAGTCTAGGCTTTACAGGGTTTTCACCAAACGGTGGTTCTGCTGGGTCCGGGAAGTTTACACGCGAGGCTCAGGGTTAAGGTATACTAGGTTAGCGCCTTTGGGTTTTGGATTAAGGGTCTGGGCTTGTTGGGGCGTATCGGAGTTTTGAGTTTGGTGTTGCGGTCTTTCGTTCGGGGTGAAGCCGCTAGAATGGCTTCAACTACATGTTGATGAGAAACTTGGCAGTTTTCTACCTACTGTAGGGGCCTTAATACTTAGAATAAGGTTTGGGGCTATATTATACTTTAGGAACCACCCCGAAATAGTATTGGTAATTGTTTATGCCCCTATATTACTTGGATTTTTCTGTTCAGGACACTGTCTGGCCCATCGGACTCGATGCTGGCTTTGCCTTGAGAAACCAGTGGTCCTAGGTAAGAACATGATCGCGTGTTGGATGTGAAGCCGACTTAATGGGCCTAAATAATTAGCAATACTATTTTGGGGTTCCTTCGTCTATTTATTCTATTCGTAGTATCGAGGGCACCAAAAAACTTTATTCTAATTATTAAGGCCCCTAAAGCCTAACCCCGCATAGTCGCCCTTATAGAACCCTTTATCAGGATCCCGATAAAAAAAAAAAAAAAAACCTTATTCTGGCCCCTGAAGCCTAACCCCTCATAGCAGCCCTTATAGAACCCTCTAAGGATCCCTTTAAAGGAACCCAACTCTAGCTCTCATGACCCCATACATTACTTTCTGGCCCCGGATCTTCCCCCCCCCCTCTCGCCCGGAGCTTCAAGTCTCCAAAGCTTTCCTCAAGTAGACTAATACAGCGGCCTTCATTATTAGAATGGGGTTTTGGGGTTCCTTTAAAGGCTTCCTTATAAAAGGTTCCACGAAGGATCTATCAGATTCTATCATAGGGTTCTATATTAGGCGCCTTCATAGTTAGCATAGGGTTTTGGAGTATAGTATACTATAACTATAATAAGGAACCCCCAGAATAGTATAGGTAATTATTAAGGTCCCTATACTAGGTAGACTCTTTCATTATTATTTCCAAAAGCCCATTCAACGTTGCGGTATGGGAACTAGAAGCCCTGAATTGCGTGCCTCAAAACAATCACCTCAAATCTAAACCGAGATAAGAAAACACAATGGCGTCAAGTCCAGAGAAGGGCTCTCTTCTCAGACCAAAACTTCGGCAACGGCGATTCTGGCACAAAACTCATAGTATTCATTCCTGTTGTGTAGGTACCTTTGCTCTTTGCGTAACCTTTGCCCCTTAGTCCTAAACCTCAAACCCACGAAAAGAACCTAAACCCCGTCCCTTTCAACCCGAACGTCCCGTCGCCCGCCTGGGAGCGAGCAAGAACCTCCTTGTAGGTGTCGTGCTCAGTTTCCCCAGCCTTCTCGAACCTGGTGTCACCAATTAGTAGTCCCTACCTAGTAGTTACGACCGAGGCCTACCTAGACCCCCCAACTAACCCTAAACCTTAAACCCTAAGATGCCTACTATTAGGGACCATAAGGGCTCTGTTAAAGGGCCATTGGGGGGGTCTTGGTAAATACCTTCTCGTGAAGATCCCTTTCTGGGGGTAACTTGTGTGTCTGGCTAGGTCTTGGGAACTGGGAAGATGGTTTCGGAGGTCCGACCCCCTTGGAAATACCAGAGCAATGGAGACCCCTGAATCGCAACACCCGAAGTACGGATCATCAAAATGAGGCTCCTTTCCTCCAGGCCCTGAACGACCAGGAGCCTAGTAAATTTATAAGGCTTTTTCCTTCTAGAAAGTAGGCCGCGACCCGAAAGCCTCTGCTCCCCGAAGCCCAAAACCCCAAGCCCCGGGAGCCCAAACCCTGGTAAGACAGAAAACGCAGGAAGCCGCACAATCCCCAAACTCCCCACCGGCCGACAAAACAGCCGAGAAGCAAGACCCTCGCCACTTCGTAGGCCTCCGAAGCAACGTCGAAGGCACCGCGCTTCTCGTGGCAACTGCCGATTTGTGCCCAAAGCTCCTGCTGAACTCGCTATAAGACTCTAGGATTACGATTTTGAGGGCTCACGCATCGGATTAGGTAGGCCAACAAAAAGGCTACAGTAGGGTGTGACCCTTTAGGAAAGGTTCGTTAAGGGATGTTGGGTGGTTAAAAAAGGGTCTTAACCATCACATTTCATAAGGATCTGATCATGGTTCTTTTTGAGGGCTCACGCATCGGATTTAATCAGGGTCTTAGAGTTTCGGGATCCTTATAATGGTCTTACCTTTAGGATACATTTTCGGAGTACATTACAGTATAAAACTTCGGTACAACAGTTATACTACGGAATTCTAAGGAACAGCAGTACTAATTCTTCAGGCTGCTGCATTCTGTAAATTAATGCACCATCTTTGGCCTCCCAAGTTGTCCCGGCGTTGGCCGGTCCCTGTTTTAGGGTTCAGGGTTTCAGGGTTGAGCATTTGGGGTCGCCGAGAGCGGGAAACCCAAACCACAAAATTGAGGCGAGAACCATCCCCGATACTTACCAAGTTGAGTGAGTCAGCTGAGGTCTCTTGTGCATCTACAACACACGCCTCAGAAACATTGCCCAACCTGAACATGAAGCGCTGAAACCCTGCACCTACAGGCTCTAATGTAGGCGCTTTGTTAATTAGAACAGGGTTTGGGGGTACATTAAACTATAATTATAGCAAGGACCCCCCTCCTCAAAAAAAGAAACAGTGTGGGTAATTATTGAGGCTCCTGTGTTATTTCCAAAAGCCCCTAAGCCGAAACCCCAAAATCTTCAGGCTCAGACCTAAGACCCAGGCCTCAAAACTCACCAAAACCCTCTCCCAAACGCCTCCATAGCCTGGTCTGCATGCCGCAAAACCCTATAACACCTTAACCCTATAACACCTTTCACAGAACACCCTAAACCCTAAACCCCTAAACCGTAAACCCCAAAACCCTAAACCCTAAACCCCAAAACCCTAAACCCTAAACCCTAAACCCTAAACCGTGGGTACGGGAGCCTAAGCTCGGATTTTTCCAAAGGGCTCCAAGTATACAAATCGTGTAGCTACTTCCGTGGTCTAACCTCCATAAACAATACCTACTTTTTTGTAGGGTCCCTATAAATCCCATATTAGGGTTCATAATAAGAACCTAATAAAAAGTGGGTTTTGGGTTCTTAAGGCAACCTCCATAAACCATACCTACTTTAGGTTACTTTGGGCTACTTTGTCACCAGGGTAACCAGGAAAAAGGTGGCTTGTCGTGTTGCCACAAGCCCCAAATGCCAAACCCGAAGCCATGAACCGCAAATTCCAAAGCCTACGCAACAGGGTTTAGTAATTTAGGGTATGATCGTGTACTTGTAAGGTCTAGCCCCACCCTTAAAAGCCGTAGGCTGTTGGATCCCGGAACACTTCCTTGACACCCAAACCACACTGTTTCGAACTTCGACCCCTGACCATAATGTCCTGGTTGAGGTAGCTTAGGGTTCCGGATCTCGATGGCCAACAGGTGCTTGAACCCTACCATTAACAAATCGAAATGAAGCCCTGCGCCGCTCCGGAAGAGCGGTTCCACCGGGGCTGCTGGTTGCGTAAATCGCAGCAGCGGCTTTGAACTCTGCCAGCGCCTCTGAGATGCGATCTTCTTCCTGTTCAGGGCGCTCAGGGTTTATGATTTGAAGGTTTGGGTTGGGGCCTAAACCCTCAACCCTAGACCCTGTTCCATAATTTTTGGGTTCAAGGGTTTCGCTTGGGAACCCTAAACCCTAAACCCTAAACCCTAAACCCTAAACCCTAAACCGTGGGAAGGTTTGAGGTTTGGGACTTCGGATTGTCGTGACTGTTGTCGTTCTTCAGCCCGGGAGTCTTAAAAATCGGACTTTGAGAGAATCTGGCTCGGGTCCGATGGAGGAGACTTCCGAGTGTTTCGTTTAGGGCTTAGCCTAAACCCTAAACCCTAAACCCTAAACCCTAAACCCTAAACCCTAAACCCTAAACCCTAAACCCTAAACCCTAAACCCTACACCCTAAACCTGAGGTTCAGGGTTCCAGATGCCCATGTCTCCTTGTGCAACATGCCCAAGTTGACCAAAAGGTCTGCATATCCAGGACTTTCAGTGACGCCGATGACTCCGTAGATGTGCTTCGAGGCCTCATAGGCCTCGAAAACCACGCACATAGGCTAGAGCTTACCGGCGTCGGCCTCGGGTTGGCCATGGGAGGGAGCATTGTAAGGGCCCTAACGATTGGAATAAGGTTTTGGGGTTCCTTACTACAGTTATACTATAATATACCCCCAAGCCCTATTCTATTTCTTAAGGCCGCTCTCTTGCACAGACAGGCCGAAAACTCCGGTTTAGAACTATGCCGTAACTGACATCAGAAATGGTCGGAACTTTACAGAGGGCCTTCGTGAAATTGGGGGCATGAGGAGTGACTTGGTAGTTTCAGGATCTGTGCCAGTGCAAATGCAGACCTTGACTGCAGAACACCCTCGACAAGAAGACGAGACACCTTAGGTCAGAGCAAGAAATCGGGGACCATTAATGTAGGGGCCTCAATAATTAGAATAGAATAAGGTTTCGGGATATATTCGTATACTATGTATAGAATAAGGTATATTATACGATATTTAGAAATTTAGAATAAGAGCCCCCAAAATAGTAGAGGTAATTATAGAGGTATATGGGGGTTTCTGAAAATAAGGGACCCCAATATAGTACCCCAAATAGTAGGATCCTTATTATAAGGACCCAAAAAAAAGGACCCCTAATTTTCGGAAACTCCCATATTAAATTATACACCCTAGGGATCAAAATAGCCCAAAAGCCTTATCTAGTATGGTCTTTGGGCCCAAAAGCCTTTAATATATGAGTCCTTAGATCCCTAGGGAAAGGTATATTAGGGGACTGAGCTCTAGGTTCCCCAGTGGACCCTTAATAATAAGGGTACCTCGAGTCTCAAAGAGCGGTCATGTCATGGAGGGGAGCTGTAATAATAAGGGTACCCTTTTTTATCCTACTATTTGGTTTTACTAAGGGAACCCAAAAGAAAAAGGGCAAAAGGGTACTACTGGGGCACGGCCCCCCAGGCGGCCCTTGGGTTCTCGGGAGCCCCGCCCTCGAACCCAAACAGACCACGTGAAACCTCACCACACCGGCATGGTTTAGGGTTTAGGGGTTTAGGGGTTTAGGGGTTTAGGGGTTTAGGGTTTAGGGTTTAGGGGTTTAGGGTTTAGGGTTTAGGGGTTTAAGCTTTAAGGTTTAGGGTTTAGGCCCTGAGACACCAACCGTGTTTCATGCGAGCTACAACAAACCCTTCCGCCGCTTGTGGAAAAACCCTGCTCTCAGCACATACACGGACTCTGGAAAAGAACGTGACAAAAACACCGAGTCCAGACCTCACGCCCTGAATCTCCAACGCGAAACACTCAACACCATCAGTCATAAGAGAGGCATCCAGAAACACAATAAAAAGACCCTTCCCAATCCATGGATCCCAAAACCACATAGTGACATAGAAGACACCCTAACCCTTAAACCCTGGAGCCCTGGAGTGAACACTCCAAAAAAACCCTGAACAAGCCTCGCGAGCTTTGTCTCGGCTCGCGCATTCCATTTCTGCCTTCCTGGTTTGTTATCAGGTTATTCAAAAAATCCCCAGGTGTTGGGTTGCAAGGATTACAACTTGGATAAACCCTAAACCCTACACCATACCCGTATAATTACCCGCAAACCATATAATTCCTCTGTAATATGCGACGGACCCCAACCCTCAATTTCACAAAACCGGATCTCCCGAGGTTGGTCAGGAGGTCCGCGAAGCCCGGGCTTCGTTCCATCTTCAGCTCTTGGTAAGAATCGGCGGCCAGCTCGTAGTACCTTAAATTCGTGATCTAGGCTTCAAGCTCCAAGCCACCCGATCATCATCATGAAACCCTTACCAAATCATATAAAGGAGACAGCCTTACCGTTTTCTCGGCTTCCATACTATGGCTCTCAAGCTCCAAGCAGCTCCATAGCCCCCACAGGGTCGCCGCCGGCAAGCTTCAGAGAACCCAAGTGCTTCAGGACGCGGGGGTAATCCTCCTTGCAAAGGGCGCCCCTACAGAGGCCCTGATTACGAGCAGGCATGAGAGGGGCCCTAACCCTAAGCCCTAAAGTAGAACAACATGTCCTTCTAGTACATAATACGTTTCTATGGGGGCGAGAGAGGGGAAGCATCGGGCCCCTAGTTGCTGCCCGCGCCTTGCCCTAGAATCACCATGGACAAGAAACACATTCATCCCACGCAAAAACTTCGAGGAACTGTAGCTTTCATGTCTTTCTAAGAACCTATCTTGCACAAACAACCCTAAAGTGTTTAAGAGCAGCCTAGCCGCATGGCTGGTGGCCTCGAGGCTGTCGAAGAGCTCCTGCGAGCGCTGTGCTTCCGTGAGTGCTTGGTGTTGATGATAATGATTTGCTACTTGTGCTTGTAGAACTGGTAGCAGTAACAATAGCAGCAGCTGCAGAACAGCAGCAGCAGCAGCAGCA